TACTATTTCTGCAGGTATTAGTTTCCATTGTGGTCCCAAGAAAATGGAACCCAAATTCTGAAAATTGGAAACCAGTGTTAGCTAGCTCTTCCTTGCCTCTGAAATTTTCCTTGACTCACTTTCCTTAACTCCTTAACAAAGGGGTGGGCAATTATTTCGGGTGGAGGGTCACTTACCAAGTTTTGACAAGCTGTCAAGTGCCACACTACCCTATGCTCCTTATCCGCGTGGGCACGAATGACATGACTCAGAGCAATCCCAGTCATGTCATGAGAGATTACAGGGCTCTGGGAGCAGGGCTTAGGTGGTTGGGGGCGCAGGTGGTCTTTTCCTTGCTCCTCCTGGTTGTGGGTCATGGGCTGAGGAGGGAGAGACAGGCTGAGGTAGTCAACCAAACACTGTGGTGCTGATATCATTATGAAGGCTTCAGCTTCCACAATCACAGTCCGCTCTTTGGTGAGAGAGACAGTGGCCTGCTGGGAAGAGACGGTCTCCACCTCACTCGGCTGGGGAGGAGGCTCTTCTCAGCCAGACTGGCTGACCTGCTCGACTGGGCTTTAAACTAAGTCCGCCAGAGGTTAGGGGGATTAGCACCACTACAAGCCCACTGGGCAACCCTTGTCTGTGAAATCTATGAAATCCAGCAGGCTAAGGCATTTAAGGGAACCCACCCCTACCCTACCCTGAAACCATCTGTAGGGAAGGCAGGGGCCCCCAGTGGGACACTTGCCCGCCTGTACACCAATGCCAGGAGCTTGGGGAATAAACAGGAGGAACTTGTCCTCCTGTTGAACAAGAATGACTATGACCTTGTAGGGATAACAGAGACCTGGTGGGGCTCCACCTATGACTGGGCCACAGATATAGATGGCTATACCCTGTACAGGCGAGATCGTGCAAATAGAAGGTGTGGGGGTGTAGCTCTCTGTCAAGGACAGCTACATGTCCCTCCAAATTGACACTGGCACCCAGGAAGGACAGCTGGAGTCTCTCTGGATCAAAATACATGGGGAATGTGGCACAGGGGACATCATGGTAGGGATCTACTACAGACCTCCTAACCAGAAACAAGAGCTGGACCAGGAATTCGCCAGGGAAGTGGCTGAGGCTACATGCTCTGGTGACATGGGAGACTTCAATTACCCAGACATCTCATTGGAAGAGCACTCGGCCAAATCCGATCGGTGGCAAAGCTTGCTCACGTACGTGGACGAGCTCTACCTGACTCAAGAAGTTTATGTGCCGACGAGAGGTAAAACGTTGCTGGACCTGGTACTGGTCAAAAGGGATGACATAGCTACTGACCTAAGAACTGATGGAAAGCTGATAGTGACCACGAGCGGATCACCTTTACTATCCATTGCAAAGCTGGCAAGTCAGTCAGCAATACAGAAGTCCTCAAATTCAGGAAAGCTGACTTTGACAAGCTCAGGAGGCTTGTTGTCAAGGCCCCAAGGGACCACAACTTGACAGGAATTGGAGTCCAAGGAGTGGTTGCTTCTCAAGGGAGCGATCCTGACAGCACAAGGGATGGCCATCCCATCTGGGAGGAAGGGTAGCAAAAGGGCTCAGCAGGGAACTTGAGGACTTCCTACACCTCAAAAGAGAGACTTACAAAGAATGGAAGGCTGGAATTACCACCCAGGAGGATTGCTTAGCACTGGTCCATACCTGCAGGGAGCAGATCAGGAAAGCCAAGGCTGCAATCGAGCTCCATCTGGCTTCACATATCAAGGATGACAAAGTCCTTTTTCAGATATGTAGGGAGTTGGAAAAAAAAGCAAGGGTAACATTGAACTCCTGTTGAACCAAAATGGGACAGCTGATAACCGACACCCAGGAAAAGGCCAACCTGCTTAATTGGTACTTCATGTTGATCTTTTATCAGTCCAATGGGACCACCCTGCCTAGCAAGATGAGGGACTGCCAGGGTGAAGGTGTATTTATACCCAGCATCAGTGTTGATCTAATAAAGGATCACTTGAGAGGCTGGACACCTTCAAGTCAGCTGGTCCTGACAGATTATACCCTAAGGTACTCAAGGAGCTGGCAGGTGTCATAGCCCAACCATTGGCAAAAATATTCGACAAGTCATGGCACTCAGGTGAAGTACCTGAAGACTGGAAGAAGGCCAATGTGGTACTCATCTTCAAGAATGGGTGGAAAGTAGATCCTGGGAATTACAGGCCAATCAGCTTGACTTCAATCCCCAGTAAGGTTCTGGAGAAAATTGTCAAGGAGACCCTTCTGGATAAGCTAGCTGAGGGCAACATCCTGAGGGATAGCCAGCACGGGTTTATCATAGGTAGGTCTTGCCTGACCAATCTCATCTCCTTCTATGACCAGGTGACATATCACCTGGACAACGGAGAAGAAATTGACATCATATATCTAAACCTGAAAAAAGCTTTTGATTTGATGTCCCATAACCTCCTCATGGAAAAACTGGCCAACTGTGGCCTTGGCTACACCACAGTCCAATGACTGGGAAATTTGCTCCAAGCTCAGACCCAGAGAATAGTAGTCGATGGACGCAAATCATTATGGCGCTCCATGACCAGTGGTGTCCACCAAGGCTCTGTCCTTGGACCGGTTTTCTTTAACATCTTTATCAACGATGTGGACACTGGTGTCAGAAGCGCACTGGCCAAGTTCACCGATGACCCTAAACTTTGGGGCATAGTGTCCACACCTGAGGACAGGCTAGTGATCCAGGCTGATTTGGATAAGCTTAGTAAGTGGACGGATACAAACCTCATGACGTTCAATACCAATAAATGTAAGGTACTCCACCTCAGGGGAAAAAAACCCGCAACATACTTATAGGCTCAGCAGTGGTACTAGCTAGCACCGCTACTGAAAAGACTTGGGGGTCATGATTGACCACAAGATGAACATGAGCCACCAATGTGATGTCACAGATGATAAAGCAAACAAAACCCTGGCTTGCATCTATAGATGCTTCTCAAGTAAATCTCAGGATGTCATCCTCTTGCTGTACTTGGCCTTGGTGAGGCCACAGCTGGAGTACTGCATCCAATTCTGGGCTCTGAAATTCAAGAAGGATGTCGAGAAGCTTGAGGAGTCCAGAGGAGAGCCACACACATGATCAGAGGGCAAGAGAATAGGCCCTATGAAGACAGGCTGAGAGCCATGGGACTCTTCAGCCTGGAAAAGCACAGGCTCAGGAGGGACCTGGTGGCTGCTTATAAGCACATAAGGAGTGTACATCAGAATCTGGGAAAATGTCTGTTCACCAGAGCGCCACAAGGAAAAGCAAGGACCAATGGTCATAAACTCCTATAAGACTGTTTTAGGCTGGACATAAAAAAAAATGTCTTTATGGTCCGAGCCCCCAAGACCTGGAATAGACTCCCTCCAGAAGTGGCGTAGGCACCTACTCTGGATCATTCAAGAAATGCTTGGATGGTTATCTTGCTGGGATCCTTTGACCTTAGCTGACTTCCTGCCCTTGGGGCAGGGGGCTGGACTTGATGATCTTCACGGTCCCTTCTAGCCCTAAAATCTATGAAATCTGTGATTTTACCTTGGACTAAAAAGAATATTATTTACTCCAAAATTTTTGAAAAATAGAATATAGCTTGTTTTAAGTGGCTTCAAAGTACAGGCTTGTCCTCTAAGTTTCAAGACATGCAAACAGAATGACTTTAATCTTCTCAAAAGAAACAAATATAGATATTAAAGCAATTTTACAGAAAAAAGCATAAAAAGTTTTCAACAGGTAAGCAATTCTAATCGCATATGTATGTACACATACATTCAAAACCATAGTATAAAAACTTCAAAATAGCAGGTCCATTCTCTACAACAGGGCTGTCCAATTTCAGAGATGCAAGGGGCCACATACTGCACAGGTCAGAGGTTCCAAGCTGCAAACCACACAGGCTGTATGCCACAAGGACCATGCTGTGTGCAACTCCTCTCCATCCCCGATTTTTGCTGCCACATGACCTGCTCTGCTTTGCCTTTCCCTCCTCCCACCACTGCTACTACCATGCAGACAGGGAAAGTCTGTCACCTGAGTTCCTCCATAGTGCTGCCACACAGACAGCAAGCTTATCAGGCTTTCCACCAGGCTGTCCTGCTCCAGAGACCCCCAGCCACCACAGCAGCAGCTGGTACAATGAGGGGAGGGCAGGAGGAGTGGCCAGGTAGGAGCACCTGGGCCACATGTTAATCCTTTGAAGGTTTAATGCATCCTATACGCCACCAGTTGGACAACTCTGCTCTACAAAATAAAAAGAATTTAAGATGTTGAACTTCTCAAACCTTCAGCTTGAGGTTATTTCATTGTACCTACCTGAGCTACTTTCCAATTACCTACAGGCATCTGTTATTTTATTTTAATGAAATAACTGAATTCACCCCCACAATTATGATTCTTTATCATATGCAAATATGATGGTATTCAGATTGGCCCTTTTGCTTTCCTTTTCTAAAATAACATAGACCCTCTGTAAAATGGTATGCTGAAGGCAATGAAGATCAAATCCTTTCTCCATAGAAAATGCAGAACATAAGTAGAAAATGCAAGTTCATCACATGTAGCGTATGTGCAACAACTGTATTCTGAAGTAACCACCTCTTAGGATGGGGGCTCTTAATTCAAGTACTTGACCTCTATACTCATATTGCCAACCACAGTACCAATTTGTACCAGCTTAAGCAGACACGCATTTATTAGGAGCCGGACACAAATCATTTACTAACCAAAAGCCATCAGCTTGAAATTAATTGCAAATACTACTCAATTTGTTAAGAGTTTATCGTTGATTCAGAATTCAAGACTCTGTAACCCAAAATCAATCCTCTGAAACATCTTTCTCTAACATTTTTCTTGCCAAAAGAGTATGAAATATCTTGAACAAAATTTCCTACTGAGGTTTATCAAAATCCACGAACCGTCATCTTCCATAAATATCTGGTAAAAATCTGCTTAAGTATTAGGTCTGCAAATTAAAAACAAAACTAGTTCCTACCTTAGTGCATCAGCTCCATAACTATTTACAATGTGCATTGGATCAGGATAGTTCTTCTTTCGTTTGCTCATTTTTTGGCCATCACTGGAAAAAAAATTCAAGAGCAGGGTGTAAATTCCTAGATATGCACAATACAAAAGGTTATAGTCAAGTTTCCCTTGAGATCCAAATACTCTTCCATATATTATACTGACTGAAACTCAACACTGATCATCATATGTTCAAAGTCAGTCTAGCCCGTGTGACACATCTGGCACTTTTATTTCAGCATGTTAAACAAGTCTAAAGTACAGAGAAAACTTGAAAGCAATTGGCTAAGTTACAAACACAGAAGGATTCATCTTGCAAGGAGAAATGAAGATGTCACCATAGAGAAGGAGAAGAAACAAGATATTTACTTTCAATCAGTTACCAGGACGTGGTGTTGGAAGAACACATTCAACATTATAAAAATACAAAACTACAAGTCCAAACGCAAATAAGAAAAAAATTATCTTTTCTTCTGCACTGAAACATATTGTTTCCCTCTCAGCCCCATTCTCTTATTGATTTTAATTAGTTTCATAGCTCATGGGTGGGGTGGGGGGTTGACATTTTTGGAAAACAAGCAGGCTTAACTTCTAGATGGGATATACAAACTTCTCTTTTGGGGAATTAACAAATAAATAACAATATTGCTGCTCTGTTACAAGTGATGGCCAAAAATGATGTATATTACAAGTATAACCAAAAGTCTAAGCCAGCAGTTTCCAAATGGCGGTACACATACCACCAGTGGTACACAGACAACTGGGAGTGGTAAGCAGAAGGCCAGGGGGATGGGCCACCCACACTAGAATCCAGCAGCAGCCTGCTGCACACAGCCAGTGTTGGGGGAAGGGGAGGGGGCAGATCGAGGTCCCCATGGTGAGGGAGAGAGTGGGGCAGGGGCTGAGGTAAATGGAGCCCCAGGGCAGGTGATGGGACGGTCAGAACCTAGGTGGCTCATCCGGGGGAGGGGGGGGTGGTTAGGGGCGGCATTCCCCACCATTGCACGCAGCCCAGGGGAGGCATGTGGGGTACGTGTCCTCTGGATCTGTGCGCGGGGTAGAGGTGGGCGGCCCACTGCAGCCTGGGCTCTGTACCCTGCCGCCACTGCCTCAGAAGCCTGACGCAACGTCATGTGCCTGCTGCACGCTGGCTGCACTATGTCCACTGGCCGCCTAGTGGTGGCAGGCACATAGTGTCAGGCATGGCTCCTGAGGCAACAGCAGCAGGGCGCAGAGCACAACAGCAGCCCACTGCTCCCTAGGGGTTTACTCCCCTTGGGCCGGCTCACCCATCCCAAGGCAAGACCAGCACCATGGCAGCCTGGGGCTTTCCAGGGGTACTGTGGGGCTCCTGTCACTGTGCACACCCCAGGGCAGGCATGGGGGGAACATACCCCCCAGATTCATGCACGTGGCAGAGGAGGGCTACACACTGGGCTCTGCACCTTGCTGCTGCTGCCGCCGCCTCCGGAACTGCGCACAACACCATCTGGCTACCACTGCTGGGCAAGCAGGGGATGCAGCGCAGCCAGCACGACAGGTACACGGCATCACACAAGGCTCCTGAGCCAGCAGCAGCAGGGTACAGAGCCCAGTGCACAGTGGGCAGCCTGTCTCCACCTCACACACAGATCTGGGGGGCACATGCCCCTCATGCCTCCCCTGGGGTATGCACAATGGTGGGGAGCCATGCCTCCCCCAGCACCTCCACACGAGCCACCCGCGGCAGTCCCACAGCCTGTCCCAGCCCCAGCGTCCCATTCACCCCAGCCTCTGCCCCACTTCCTCCCTCACCATGTGGGTCTTGATCTACCCCCAAACCTGTTCCCTCTGCCTCCACCCCCCACAGACTTACCTGCTGAGCACTTTGTTTGTCTGTGCATGTGTCTGCCTGTGCATCTGTCACTCCCAAGCCCCCCCCCCCACCACTGCTGTTCCTCACTCCTGACTCTCAGTACCCCACATCCTGCCAGGGCATGCAAGAATCCCCCCTCCCCAGGCTCGAAACCCCACACACACCCCAACAGCCTCCTACCAGGCATCTAAATACTGTGTTCGGTCAAGCAAGCTCACTCCTCCCACTAAAGACATCCCTAAAATCATCTCTGGACAGGTAAGCTTACACTGGGTTTTTTTCCAATTTACAATTGTTTTACATGGCTACCGTAACTGATAAAACAATGTTTTATGATTCCTAAAGGTTTTGATGTTGTTTTAATACATAGTCTGTTACCTATGTGTATGAAAAATTTGCTGGTGGTACTTAAGACTATCATTTTAAATTGGTGGTATGCAATCTATCAGAGTTTGGGAACCCCTGGTCTAAATAACCAAATTTCTAATTTGTGATCTATAACAACAAATCTGAATTATTAGAATTTGCTTACAATAAATATGAAGAATGTACTAACATACCAACCTGGCAAGAACTAGCCCATTTACAATTACATTCTTGAAAGGAGGCTTTCCAAAAAGAGCTGAGGACAGCACCAGCAAAGTGTAAAACCTGAAATAAGAGAGAATTTAAATTATATTCTAATCATGTTAGCCAAAAAGCAGTATGCCTTCAATCACAACTAAGGGCACTTTTACATGTGTTTTGGGACGCAGCACCAGGTGCTGTAATTAGAGTGCCATATTAATTAAAAGCACCCATGTGTCATATCAGCATTCCCGCGCTGAAAAAAGAAGTGGTGGTGGGGAGTGTTGAACTAAAGCTCATTGAATGTGTTTTATTTCAAAGTGCCCCACCGCCATTTTTTCAGCAGACACACACGTGGATGCTAATACACATGATGCAGAAGGCTACCAGAGCGCATCAATTTCCATGCTCCAGCAGCCTTGATTCATCGAGTCTGCTCTGGCATGCTAGACTTCCAGCACATCAGAGCAGGCTCCCCACATGTGTATAGGAGCCCAAAGATTTCAATAGTTAGATTTATTCACTCAGTTTGTAAATGAAAAAACTGGGGCTAAGTGGAAAAAATATTATGTGTACAGTCTTATGATACAGGTGCATGTCCTTACCATACAGTATACAGTATTATTTTCCCCAAGTGTTACACAGGTAGTAGAATTTGAATGAATGACAATGGAACATTTTGGACAGAATCAACAAAGGTGGCCAGAAGAAAAGAAAGAAAACAAAGAAAATATTCCATTTGAAATGTACAATAAATTATAAACAAGACCATATTAATGGTCTTACAGGAACGTCATATCTTTAAATTATCTACAAGCCACATACTGCAGATCTCTCAGATTAAACAGAATGTACCACAATGCATGACTCAGAATACATTAAATCCAGAAATGAATGGTGGGCAAGACTGTTTTTATTTCATGGAATACTAAAATTTAAGTTACAGTTACATTTGCATACTCCAAGCTGGGAGGTGATGGGGCATAGGGACTGCTACAGGGAAACCTAAGTTAGTAAGTACAAACAACTTCAGCCAGTTCAAAAATAAGTTTATATTGGCTGTCTCTGAAGCAACCCTCATCCTGCTCTTTCTATGAAAGGTTGACAGCAGTAATGTAGGATATCAGAAGAATTGGGAAGCAGTGAAATACAGATGTATTCCTTCTTCTGGTGCATTACTGTAACATGTATTAGGCAGACAAGGTTCCTTGGGTGAATTTGATATCTTTTATTAGACCAACCCAAATGGTTGGAGAATAGTTATTAAGCAAGCTTTCGGGTTCAAAAACCCTTCGTCAGGCTAAGGAAGCTTCAGCAGTTGGTGTGTGCTCTTCCTGGATGTACACCATATTTATGACCTGGGTAGCATCAAGATATAACCTGCTCTCAAGGGCAGTGTTTTGCTAAACATTTCTGGGTTTCAGGATGAGTGAAATAGGGAGCCTATGAAACCTATCAGTGACTTTTAATTGTTTATGGTCCTTTCTGGAGTTATACAAGATGAAGCAATTTATAAGCATCTGAATTATTCTTTTTTCCCCTCTTCCCCATATGACGAGTCTTGTCAACTTCATGTTTTGAGAACTCCTGGCTGATGACAAAATTTGTAGCAAAAGATTGTTATCTTTTGTAAGATTGCTTTCATGCATGAAATGTGAAAAAAGTTTGGGCTTCTTTCCTGGTAGTTTAGATGCCTCTGTTTCTATGGTGCAAATGTAAATGTACTTGTATTGATTATATTAAATGATAGTATCCTAGTCAGTGTCGCTTTGAGCACTTTTAACACTTGACTGTGTCTCTGTTTAGTCATTTGTTGCTTAGCAGAGACAATTCCTGACTGCCAAAATATCCTGCTTAAGTAAACTTTCCTAGAGCTGGAGAGTCTCTGACAAGAGTCTGTTCCTGAATGTTTACTATATAATATGTTACTTTATTGAACACGCTAGTGAATTTTTAAATATAAACTGAACCTCTTGCTTCGTATCCTGTTTTCCAATTATGCAGTAACATAGCACATTAAGAAAAATTGTGTCGTTGGAGTAAGTGCTGTCCAGAGGCATTAGATGCCTAGTCTCTTTTCACAACTTTGAACCCTGGGGTCAAAGTTTATTTTAAGTTTCTGATGTAAAGACAGTAGGGCTAGGGACAGAAATTTCACATAAACCAGTAAAAGTGATCGGAACCTGATTCAAATCTGTAACACAACAGAAGTTCAGTGCACGTAAGCTGCTCTCACAGTGGCTGAAACTGGTTTAAAATAAACCAGGATGGTTTCATAGTTTCTAGGGTCGGAAGGGACCTGGGCAGATCATCTAGTCCGACCCCCTGCCATGGCAGGGA